AAGAATTTGTGCTCAGCTTAATCTTTGAAACCGTGTAGGCCAGAGTTTTGCTTTTTACATAGTTTTGATAGTCTGTTGCTAATTTGAAAGGGTCAGTTCTTACAGCCAAGGCTTGTAGCCCTTTGGACACTTTGCAGGTTCACCTGCGTCACTGACTTTTAGAGGAAGCCTGAAACTCTGAATTGTTGGTTTACGATGTTAGTGGGAAATTGCCTTAAAGCCTCATGTGCTATTTATGTTGGCTTCGGCTTGCTGTTAATGTGGAAGAGACAGCAGGGCATTCTGGGAAAGAAAAAGCATCTTTACGGAAGGTACTGTACCTGTAAGGCTCATCATTCAAACCAAGCAAAAAAAGTGTGTGTGTGTGTGTGTGTGTGTGTGTGTGTCCCCTTCTGCAATGGATGGCATTTATGGGAAGTTAATCTGCTAATATTCCCTTTGCTAATCAACCCAAAATGGTTATATGAACACACCCTTAATGCTCAGTAGGGAAACTTACATTTCTAAAAAGCCATGATGCTATGTATGAGGAACCCAAGTCATCTACTCAGACTTCGAATAGAAGCTGATGGGGCAATTCAGGCTGGAGTTGCAGAACCTCTGAGTTAACTCCAACTTGCTTCAACCAAGCTGAAATCAGGTCTTTTCATCTTCATTTGAGAGCTTAAAGGGCCAGCCTAGTGCTCTATTTCCTCTCATTTCGCTCTTTCCTGGCTCATTGCCTGGACCAGTCATCCAGCAATGGGGAGCATGGGGTCTCCAGATGAAGAAGCAGTTGCCTCTTTAGGTGCTTAGTGGTGGTTGCCTCTGGGGATTCCTGTGCAGGGCTGGATATATATTAAAAATATTAAAAAATTGTCCAGTAGCACCTCAGAGACCAACTAATTTTGTTCTTGGTATAAGCTTTTGTGTGCATGTATCTGAAGAAGTGTGCATGCACACGAAAGCTTATACCTAGGAAGGGGCCCCAGAAGTGACTTTAAATCCATCCATTGCTAAGATCACAGAAAGGAAGGTCGTGTCTTGCAAAGACCTGGTTTTTGCTAACCAATGTTGAGAGATCTATATCCTTTCGAACATCTAAATTTCTTGTGAAGGCTTTACAAATTCGTGTAACAAAACTTGAGGGGGGGGAACAGGAAATTATTTGTCCACTAGGGGTTGGGGAGTAGAAATGTTAACCATTATTGGTAGCAGTATTCCTGTTGTTGTTGTTATTATTATTATTTTATGTGTCCAATGGCTGCTTGCTAAATAAACCACAATAAGTCAAACTGACTGACTGACTGACTGACTGACTTTAGTCTGTGTTGCTTTAAAAAAAATGGTCTAGTAGACCAAATTTCAGTTGCACGACTCAGATTGATTACTTTTTTGTTCTGTATATTTCAACAATCCCAGAGTCAGTAGCACAGATGCCGTAAAAGTGTGATGATCTATCATGGAACAGCTCCACTGAAGAAGATAGCAGTGGTTACCAAGACCTTGTTGCTGGTTCTGAAGGGGTCCCCATAGCAGTTCCAGCTTCAGGGCCCCCAAAATGTACGTCCACCACTGTCTAGGTTGCTGCTAGGTTGCTGCTACCGCTGCTACTCAGGTTAGGAGTCGTGCGCCCTGCTAGATCAGACCAATGGTTCTTCAAGCCCAGCATTGAGGGTGGCCAGCCAGGCCCTCTGAGAAGCAGGACATAAAGGCAATAGCCATCTCATAATATTCCTCCTCAGTCCTGGTGTATTTGGGTGTTCATTGAGAGGCCTATCTGTCTTAGGTCTGTCTTCTATGCATTTTTCTAATCCCGTTTTAATTTTTTATAAGCTAGTGGCCATCACATCACGTAGCAAAAAAATCCCATAAATTAGCTATGTTGTAGTCTGAAGAATGATTCTCTTTTGGCTTGTCCTGAATTGTCTGCCAATAAGTTTTGCTAGATGGCTCCAAGTTCTCGTATTATGAGTTTGGGCGCGGGGGGGGAACACTCTATCCACTTTCTCAACACCATGCATAATTTTATAGCTCTCTGTCTTAAGACTTGCGGTTTAAGGGGCAGAAGGTAAACTCGCAGTCCTTAGTTTGACATCTGATTTCTCTAACCACATCTGCAAGATGTTCTGGAAACCACACTTTGAAAGGGGGGGAAAGCTAGGTCATTTGCTTAAAGTGTAATTTAAGAAGAAGCTGGACTGAAAAGGTTACTTTTGGTTTACATATACAAGATGAAGGTTTCCACTGCGTTTAGAGTCTCCTCTTGCATAGGAAAGCAAGATTTATACCCACTAAGGCATCCATTAAAGGGCCACCATGAGAGAACTGCTAGTGAGCTATGAAATATCAAACATTAACAGTGAAATACTATGCATGTTCACACAAAAGTGGTCTTGATGGGGCTTAATCCAAAGTAGGTGTGGCTAGCATTGCATCCTAAGGTTTACCAATTTATCTGGGATTATGCTCCATTGAACTCAATGGGCCTTACTTCTGAGCAGAACTGCATAGGATTGTTCTGCCTATTATTTAAAGCTCCTGTAAACTCAAGTAACCACCCACAGAGAAAGCTCTAGCTTTGCCTTCTTCAAATCTCTGTGCTTCACACAGTCCCATTTTCAATTATGTTTTTTTCCTTTGATTGATTTGTACATCCTATTATTTTCCCTCATTCTCATAAATGAACACACACACACACACACACACACACACAAACATATATTTTAAAAAAATCATAAGCATCTGTTGGGATAGTCAGTTCTGCCCCCGTTTGTTGCTCATGGAGCCAAAATGTCAACAATTGCAAATATGTGGGAGGTATCAGCAGACTTGGGGCAACTTCAGATTTTTCAGAAATACAAAATAGCAAACAAACAAAAAACTGGGTAGGGGTTGGCCGCAGAAACACCCTAATGAGAAGTGAGTGTGTTCCATGCCCACGGAATACTGACTAACTGTCAAGAGGTGAGAAACAGAAAACTGGGAGGGAGGGGAAATAGGAGTCAACAGAAAAGGAAGAGGGACAGAGAGAGATGTGGGTATAAAACAGGTAGACAGAACCATCTCATTGTACAGATTGGTCATTTCATCGTTCATGCCATGATGTTTCTTTTAAAATTTCCTCAAGAGCTAGAAGTGAGAGCTTCCCATGGAAATCAATGGGGAAATTCAAGATTTTAATACTGCTGGGATTAGGCACAAGGGTGTCTGCTCCCCCCCCCCCACAAAAAAACCAGCCATTAGAGGACTGAACATGCTCATTGGCCACAGAACGATGAGTATCTGTTGGAAATGAATGGGGAACTGGCTGGCTAATCATATGCCCTACCGCTGACCTTTAGCCCTTCCCCTATGAAAGCAGCATAGGATAATTCTGAATCTTGCTCATACCTAAAGGAACCTCTTTCCAGATAAGCAGGACCACATGTTATGCTACCCCTCTGCGGACTGAAATATGTTATTAATGTCAACTCTTGTTTTCTGCTCTCTTTAAATCATGAACGTCGTTACGGCAACATTAACTTTTGCAAGTCTCAGTAGCTGAACTTTTGTTTTCCCACCAGTCTGCTTTCAGACACCCTTTATCAAGTTAGGTGTTCCTGTGGAGCACAGGTTTAGGTTTGTTTCTAAAGATGCATGTACACAAGGCTGGCTTCAGCAGCCATCATGCTTCGGCAAATACCATGGCCTTAGGATTCACAACTGACAGCTGCCTTGGGCTCCCTATTCATTTCTGACATGCCACTCCAAGCAGTGCTGGGCCGTAGGGTGTACCTCTGGAGGCCGCCATTTTAGTTTCCCACTTCCACAAAGGAGTGAACAAGCTGGGGCATTGTGGTAAATTGAAATAGTGGCAGAACCCAGCCATCTAGTACTGCTGCTGCCCACCGCATGGTAAACCTGCCAGGACCATTGACAGGCAAGAGGGTTTCATGAACATGAAGGACACCTGGCCCACGGCCCCCTCACACCTGGAGCCAGCACTGACTGTACAAATAGTAGCTGGAGAAGGATCTTAGTTGCAAAACGTTTTTTGCAATCCGTCTGTCTCAAGAGACAATGGAGTGTGTCTCTGGGGGTGAAGTCCAGCTGCCACATTACCAGCAGCAAAGTGACCTCCCCAGCATAAACAGTGAGCAGGCTGGTCTATAATTTCTCCCTATGGCACATTGTTGGTGATGATGATGTTGTTTCCCCCTATGAGGTGGTTGTTGTTGTTGTTGATTTGAATGGGGGTGCCCCCTCCCTTCCAGGGAGCATTCATTTGCTCCTGCGGTCAATCTAGTACAGTCTATTTTATGGCTTCAGAATTCTACCATCTCATTTTCCCACTTTACTGTGGTCGTTTCAGACCTGCATTTGCATTCATGTCTCCCATTTGTATTTTGTTCTGAGGGTTATGCTTTTTTTGTTGGGGGGGGTGAATTAACAGGATTTGTCCCTGGAATAGACCCTGATGTTGGGAAAGATGGAGGGCACAAGCAGAAGGGGACGACAGAGGACGAGATGGTTGGACAGTGTTCTCGAAGCTACCAGCATGAGTCTGGCCAAACTGTGGGAGGCAGTGGAAGACAGGAGTGCCTGGCGTGCTCTGGTCCATAGGGTCACGAAGATTCAGACACGACTAAACATCTAAACAATAACAACAAATATATGATTTAATCATCCAAACCCCTAAACAGTTTACATAATATTGTTGTAAGCTGCCTCAGGCCTTGAAGCAGAGGAATGGGAATAAATGTTTTAATGCAATGCAATGCAGGACTGTACTATACAGTACAAGACAACACAACACAAAACACAACATTACAATAATGAAGTAGCTTTAGCTGAAGCTGTTGCTTGCATTACTGGACTTTCTGAAAGTAATACAGGTAATGTCATAAGCTATGCCTACTTGCTTGGGGGAAAGGCCATTGAATTCAGTACAACTTATGTTCAAATAAACATGGATAGGACTGGGATCTTAATTTACTAATTCCATCTAATAGATAGTTTGTCTGTTTTTGTCTTTTTAGGAAAAAGTGCTGTAAGGGTTATAAGTTTGTTCTTGGACAATGCATTCCTGAAGGTACGTTCTTAAATTATTATTACTTTCCAACACTTATCACTACAGTGTTTCTGTCTTCCTGTACTATAATAAATATGGGCTCAAATATTTGTTTCTCTACATGCTTACCTGGGAGTAAGTCTCACCAAACTCAGTGCGACTACCAAGTATACATACATTGGGTTGGGTGGTTAGTGAGTATAGACCAGGGATAACCAATGAGGTGTCCTCCAGGCTTTGATGGGACTACAGCTCCCATCATCCCTCACCACTGACCATGTTGACTGGGGCTGATGGGAGCTGGGGTTCACCAAATCCAAAGGCAACCACATTGACTACCTCTGCTATGGAAAATCATCCAGTGGCTGCTGTCGTGTCTCCAATCACCATTATAACTCCATAATTTTAGACATTCACTAGACGTATCTGAGCTTGACGATGTCTCCTTTTGCTTCATAACAGTCTCCACATTATAGGCCTTCAAAGTCATGTGAATAAACCAACCCAAATTCACCATTTCAGTTTCTTACTTCAACCATCTCTTCTGGGGATGGGTGGTAGGTAGCCAGGCGTGGAGGTGGTAGGGCTGATAGGACGTCACTTTTGGGTGCTGCTGCTGCTGCCTGAGACAGTGCCCTCCCACCCCCAATGGCTGTGTCTGGATACCTGCTTCCTACTCATGCCTTAGATCAGTCTCTGCTATCCAGAGAGCCAGTGTGGTGTAGTGGTTAAGAGCGGTAGTCTCGTAATCTGGTGAACCGAGTTCACGTCTCCGCTCCTCCCCATGCAGCTGCTGGGTGACCTTGGGCCAGTCACACTTCTTTGAAGTCTCTCAGCCCCACTCACCTCACAGAGTGTTTGTTGTGGGGGAGGAAGGGAAAGGAGAATGTTAGCCGCTTTGAGACTCCTTAGGGTAGTGATAAAGCGGGATATCAAATCCAAATCCAAACTCCTCCTCCTCTTCTTCTTTTTCTTTCTTCCGTTGTTCAGTACCTTGCAGCTGCACTGCCTTGACAAAAAAGAACTTGGCTTTTTTAAAACACCCTCCCTGTTTTCTATTATTTATTGTATTATTACCCTGCCCATCCTCTCCAAGGATCTCACCTCCCTGTTTTATTCTCATAACATCCCTTGGAAGCAAATTAGTGACTGGCCCAAGATGGCTAAGCATGGATTTGTATCTGGGTTTTACCCTAATATTTTTGTGCATCACAACAATTGGCTCTAGCAGACATAATGTGCCACCCAAATGCCGTCTTCTCTTCTCTGGCTCTGCGCTTCACCTCTCCCCTAGGCCCACCCCTTGGAGTATGTCAATCAAGTATGTGGTTTTAAAAGGAACGGGAGTGTTAATTTTGCACCACCTTTTAAAATACTGCATAGATGAGTTCAGCTGGCGGTTTATCATTTATTAAAGTTTTACACTTACTGTGTGTTATTTGGAACAGTAGTGTTTTATGGGCTGTGTGCTCTCTGCTTTGGCAATCAAGGGCTGATCTTGTACCATTATGAACATTAGGCTGCCAAGACAGATGCACATGCTCAACTCAACGCACTCTTTTGCCTCTTGCAGTCAACAAAAGGGATTCACCTTGGCTTTATCAGGTTGATTTATTATTGGCAGATGTGCTGCTTTAGCAGCTCAGAGTCCCGGAAATCTTGGCAGCCAGACACAGAGCTGATAATGCACTGGGGCAAAACCAAACTATGAATAAAAATCTTAGCAGGTGAGCAAACTCGACCTATCTTGGCTCAATGCTGAGAAAACTCTTGGAATCGTTTGTTCTGCAAAATCGAGCTCCAAATGGGATAGGAGCATTCTGACAACTGAGATGCATTTTGAGTCCATCGTGGCTGCACATTGTGTCCAGCTTTAATTCATGGTGCTGGTGTTAACCTTTAGAAACCTTAAAAGCTTGGGACCTGTGTATCTCAGTGACCACCTTCTTCTGTATGTGCCTCCTTGCATACTCTGATTGTCTCCAAACTCCTTCTTAGGATCCTGTAACACCACAAGGCACACTTGGTGGTGTCCAGGGACAGGGTCTTTTCTACAGTGGCACCTGCTGTATGTAACGCTTTAGCAAACATACAGCATCAGGCCCCATCACTGTACTGCTTTTGACGGCTAGTGGAGACATGGCTGTTCATTGCTTAAAGGGGCCTTAGGCTTAATATTTCCTTTTGTTCTAACATTCTGAAGTTTTAATTCTGATAGCTGTTTTGCCATTGTTACTGTGGCCTTGGGTTTTATGCTAATATTTTGATTTACGATGTAAACTGTGAATTGTTCTGTATTTTATAACTGTTGCCTTTTTTTATTTTAAAAAAAATCACCTTGAGTTTCTTCTGAAAAATAGGTGGGATAGAAGTTGTTGTTCTCATTTAGCAATGAGAAGCCTGAGCTGCGATGGAGCTCCGTTGCATCATACACAGTCAGCACAATTGCAGTAAGCTTGGAACTGTAAGCCTCAAAGTCGATTCTGGATGCGTGAAGCAAAATAAACATTTGGTGCTGTAGTTCACAGAGTGATGGTTTACATGTTCTCTCCCTCTTAAATGGAGATTAGTTCCATGCGAGAGAGAAATGTCACACTTGAAATGCCAGTCATGGGTGGATGCAGCTGCCAATGCCTGCAAGCTGGTATATTACTTTTCCAGTCTAGCCCAATGAAAGGAGGATGCAAAGACCCTCTTCCCTTGGAGAAACGCCCCCATTGGCTGTATACGTATAGTGGAGGCCATAGAAAGCAGCACAGCAACACCATATCTCCTCCTAGCTGCCCTGTAGTATCACACAAACCATAGCATGATTGTGCCCTATGATTCCTTGTCACCACTAGCAACAGCCAGGGAATTGGAGGTGAGGCAGGGAAACTTGCAGAACATTAAGCATCTTCAGGCAGTCTTCCTGAATGCCTAAAGGGGCAAGTGGGAATGCATCCCACCTGGCTACCCCCTCACTGGTATCTGCACCACCCACAACACCTCCCCTATATCAGTTCCACCCATGACCTTCATGTGGGTCTGAAAAGGGAATTTCCATGGGCTTGGAATCCTGTCCTCAGTCAGGAACCCTGCATGGTTAAGGGGTGGCCCATCAAGTCCAGCATCCTGTTCGCACAGCGGCCAACCGAAAGCAGGACCTGAATGCAACAGCACTCTGCTCATCTGTGACTGCCTCTGACAGTGGAACCCTGCAGAGCCACTGCCTCCTTAAATCTACTCTCAAAACCCCAAAGAGCTGTTGCCAGTCAATGTAGAAAATATTGAGCCAGATGGACCAGTTTGGCAGGCTATAAAGCATCTTCCTATGTGGCAACAATGTGTCTCCCCTCTTTCAGCTGATCCTACCTATCTCCAGTTGCATCTTTGTTGTTGTTTAGTCGTGTCCCACTCTTCGTGACCCCATGGATCAGAGCACGCCAGGCACTCTTGTCTTCCACTGCCTCCCGCAGTTTGGTCAAACTCATGTTAGTAGCTTCGAGAACACTGTACAACCATCTCGTCCTCTGTCGTCCCCTTCTCCTTGTGCCCTCCATCTTTCCCAACATCAGGGTCTTTTCCAGGGAGTCTTCTCTTCTCATGAGGTGGCCAAAGTATTGGAGCCTCAGCTTCAGGATCTGTCCTTCCAGTGAGCACTCAGGGCTGATTTCCTTCAGAATGGATAGATTTGATCTTCTTGCAGTCCATGGGACTCTCAAGAGTCTCCTCCAGCACCATAATTCAAAAGCATCAATTCTTGGGAGATCAGCCTTCTTTATGGTCCAGCTCTCACTTCCATACATCACTACTGGGAAAACCATAGCTTTAACTATACAGACCTTTGTCGGCAAGCTGATGTCTCTGCTTTTTAAGATGCTGTTTAGGTTTGTCATTGCTTTTCTCCCAAGAAGCAGACGTCTTTTAATTTTGTGACTTCTGTCACCAACTGCAGTGATCATGGAGCCCAAGAAAGTAAAATCTCTCACTGCCTCCACTTCTTCCCCTTCTATTTGCCAGGAGGTGATTGTCCTTGTATCCTGTAAACCACTAAATTTGGTTCTGGAAATAGCATTGTGGAGGTGTACAGTGCATTCACTAAACTGTGTGCAGCTTTTCCACAGCCCAACAGTTAAAATCATCTACGGTTCTTAGCTTAGTATATTTCTTTTAACCAACTTTTATTCGCAGAGAATTTTCTCGAGAGTCCCCCCCCCCAAAAAAAAAAATATCCTGAAGGTGATGGAAGAAAAATAACAACATTGTGTAATTACATTTATCTTATTTTTCTTCCAGAGGTATCTGTTTCTTTGCCTGTTCTTTTGTCACACATAGCAATCCAGTGTAAATAAAAATTTGAGGTCTATGTTTTCTTGATTAGTAACGGGAGTACAACTACATTGGTAACAGAAGGACAAACACTAATTTCCCATTGCTTTTGCAGTGTTGTACAGCTGCTAATAACAAGCACATTTCTCTCCCGTTAGATTATGATGTCTGCGCAGAAGCTCCTTGTGAACAACAGTGCACAGACAACTTTGGACGAGTCTTATGCACATGCTACCCTGGTTATCGGTATGACCGCGAAAGGCACAAGAACAGAGAGAAACCCTATTGCTTAGGTGAGTGGAAAAGATTGCACCTGAAATTAATTCAAGGTTACTTGCCATAAATTCAAAGATATGGATTTGTATGCGCTTCCAAAATTTGGTTAATTCAGATTATTATTATTATTATTATTTGATACATTTTTCATTTGCGTTTCTGATACATTTCAAAATGTAAACAAAAATAATGTGAAAAGAAAAGAATCTCTGGAATAATAAAAAGTAACAATTTTGAAATAACAAAAACAACAACCAGAAAACGTTCCTTAACTGACTTCCCATCCTCTCCTTCCATGGTTCCTTTTATCTCTTCTTTTCCTCACGTTTTCTTGGTTCATGCTGTCTATCACAACTCCTTATATAAACTCTAGTTATTTCTTACACTGTTGGAATCTTACCGTCCTGCTAGGTTGATTGTCTGCTTATCATACTTTTTTCATATATTCAATAAAGAATATCCTTTCCTCCTATATCTTTTATCATTTTTATTCCTTATTCTAGTGGTCATTCCTGCTAGCTCTGCATATGCTAGCAGTTTAATATACCATTCTTCTTTTATTGATACCTTTCCATTTTTGCGCTAATAACACACATGCAGCAGTTGTCGCATATAGGAACAAAAGTCTCTCTTTTTTTGGTAACTTCTGTTGTTATTAACCCCACAAAAATCTTCTGGATTTTTAGAAAAGGATTTTTACAACATTTTTAAAAGTTCGTTATAGATCATTTCCCAATAGTTTTTAATTATGCTGCACGACCACCACATGTGATGAAAAGTTCCCTCTGCTACCTTGCATTTTCAACAATTGCCCTTTGTTGATTTTGGCATTTTTTTCTAGTCTATTTTAACCCTGGATCCCAATAACTCCTTTTCAAACTGCGAATTTTGTTACGCTATTCCATATTTTTTTAACTAACTTAAATGTTGCATTCAAGTGATGGTAAAGATCTGTCACTTGTCTTTTATCTCTCTATACTCTTTCAATTTATATTCCTCCCCAGTGACAGTTAGCAAATCTCTATATGTACTCCAATTTTTCTGTATATTATTATTTTTTCCTTGCAAGGGCTTCTGTTGGTGACAGACACATTGGTGTTTTCCTTTCTAATAAGTTTTTGTATTTTCCCCATACCCTATACAGGTTTTTCCTAATTAAGTAGTTTGAGAAACTCTCATATATCTTGGCCTTCCCATACCACAGGAATGCATGCCACCAAATTTTAGGTCATGCCCTTCCAAGTCCAATAGGTATCTGTTCTTTAGTAAAATCTATTCTTTCAACCAACATAAACATGATGCGTCAAAATATAATTGTACGTCAGGCAGGGCAAAACCACCTCTCTCTTTAGTGTCAATCATGATTTTATGTTTTATCCTGGGTTTTCTCCCCTGCTAAATAAAATTAGATAGATCTTTTTGCCATTATTTAAAATTTCAGATGTCATTAACTATAGGTACAGTCTGAAATAGGAATAGCATCTTTGGGAGTATATTCATTTTTATGACTGAAATTTTCCCAGCAATGACAATTGCATTCTACTCCAAATTTGCAGATCTTTTTGGATTTCTTTCCAAACCTTTACATAGTTAATTCAGATTAATTCAGATGCTGCCTCCACCAACATGGCCAACGATGAGGAATGATGAAAGTTCAGAGTCCAGCATTGATCTGGAGGACCATATGTTCTCCATCCCTGATCTGGAGGGCCACAGGCTCTTGTCTAACCTGGCTGTCACTATCTCTCTGCAACTTAGAGGCATTTCCCATCTCCTGCTGTCTGAACCTTTGAACTGCAGATGATGGGGGTTGAGAGTCTGGAATCTGTTGCATGCAACACATAGTTCCACTGAGCAGTAGTCCCTCACTAATCGAGTGCAATTAATGCAACAGTTTTAGGAAACCTTTATTTCTTATTTCCCTCCCTTTTTTTAACCCACTGCGGCATCCATCCCCTTTCAGATATCGATGAGTGTGCCACAAGCAGCGACCCTCTCTGCCCCCACATCTGTGTCAATACCCTTGGCAGCTATCGGTGTGAATGTAATGAGGGGTACATACGTGAAGATGATGGGAAAACATGCACCAAAGGAGAGAAAGGTATTACACTGCTGTTTCTTAAATTATTCTGGCCACTGTGCACACTATGCACTGATAAAATCAGTGAAAAGCTCCAAGCCTAAAGCCCTTTGCTCAGAAGGAAGTGTTATTAAAATTGCATATTTTTGTCTCCAGATCAGTTGATTCAGAGCTCTTGCCATTATGTTCTGAGCTGGTTGTTCCAGCTCAGACCACATGCCTCTCAGCCATTCCTGGTGAAGCTGAGTTCCCAGAATGCATTGCTCTTCTGCATATGAAGCTGAAGTCATAGACAAGCTGAACTATTCTGCCTTGTGAAGTCAACTGAAGCTATCTATGCCCCTGGTGTGTCAGCTGTCATGACTGAAAATGTGGTCCTTTCTTGGCTGACTTCAGTTTCCCTTCCCCAGTAAGAAAACGAGACTAGCTAAACCTTGTTCTTGTCCAGCAAGTCATAAAAAAGCAGAGAATCAGTTCCTTACAGACATTTTGAGGGTAGAAGATTCCCATAACTTTTGATGTCTAAGATCCCAAAAGTACTCTTCTTGAGCCTCCTTTTTTTAATCCAGCTTTGCAAAACCGAGTGGCCAGGTGACAGAGTTTCTGCACCTTTAATAGCTATGCAGAAGAAATATTTTAAGCAGGTATAATTCCAGTCCACCATACATGAGAACAGGATTTTCTCCCTCTGACTCTTAAGTCTACTGTTTGAAACAATCTGCTTAGGAATGCCATCTTGTGGCAGATAGAAGTTCAGGCGCCATTGTCAGCCCACAAAAAACCATTTGCATTGCAATAACCTTTCCAAAATAGCTGGCTTAAATTGCAGTGGAATTTAGGTCTTCAAGGCAGATCATCTGATAAATTCTTTCTTACAATGTTAATAATATACTGATTTTTTTAAATTAAAAACAACAACACAACACCAGTATCTCACCCAATCTCCAAAGATAACACACAGGATGGAGAAAATGAATTAGTGTGTGTTTATTTTACAGCACCAGAGGGATGAAAGCTGTCTGCTGCCCTTAGCCATCTGTGAATTTGAGCTGCAGGTTTGAATATGGGGAGGGGCACCAAAGAAATGGACCATCTTTGTGACATGGAAGATCCTATTGCATATTGTAGAGAGGGCACGGCATAGCCACATAATCAAATGAAAACCAATGGGAGATAATACAAGACAGATGATAACATAAGCCTTGTGGGGTGGGAGGAATGCATGCAGGCACTCAACATGGAAATAATAATAATAATAATAATTTATTTGTACCCCGCCCATCTGGCTGGGCTTCCCCAGCCACTCTGGGCACCTTCCAACAAAGATTAAACATACATTAAAATGTCACACATTAAAAACTTCCCTGAACAGGGCTGCCTTCAGATGTCTTCTAAATGTCAGGTAGTTGTTTATCTCTTTGACATCAGATGGGAGGGCGTTCCACAGGGCGGGCGTCAAAACCGAGAAGGCCCTTTGCCTGGTTCCCTGTAACTTTGCTTCTCGCAATGAGGGAACTGCCAGAAGGCCCTCAGCGCTGGACCTCAGTGTCTGGGCAGAACGATGGGGGTGGAGACGCTCCTTCAGATATACTGGGCCGAGGCCGTTTAGGGCTTTAAAGGTCAGCACCACCCAGATTGGAAACAATGGTAGAATTCACCATTGGTTCTTTGCATTGTTTCATCTGCTCAAGGCATTTTCATTTGCCAGCTGAATAGTCTCCCCACTCCCCCACACCACCACATGCTGGTTTTGGGGGTTCTCAGGACCCGCAATGGGCCCATTGTGGGGGTATGGGAAAGCCCATGGGAGCACAAAATGGGGTTCTGCTGATGGGGCTGGCTAGGTGAATCCCCACCTGAGAACTTCAAAGCAAATGTACTGCCCCATCAAACAGTATTATCTTAGGAACTGCTGCTGCTGCTGGGCTCATTTTCTTATTGTCTAACTTCAGACAAGAAAGGGCCACGTTTTCAGTAATGATAGCACACACACATAAGGTGTTTAGGTAGCTTCAGCCAGTATGATGGTAGTGGTTAAGAGCAGTAGATTCGTAATCTGGGGGAACCGGGTTCATGTCTCCGCTCCTCCACATGCAGCTGCTGGTGACCTTGGGCCAGTCACACTTCCCTGAAGTCTCTCAGCCCCACTCACCTCACAGAGTGTTTGTTGTGGGGGAGGAAGGGAAAGGAGAATGTTAGCCGCTTTGAGACTCCTTCAGGTAGTGATAAAGCGGGATATCAAATCCAAACTCTTCTTCTTCACAAAGGAAGAATATTGTCTATGACATCAGCTTCATATGCGGAAGAGAAATGCATTCTGGGGGCCCGCTTTCGCTGTCACTGAGGTGGCAAATAATTCAGACGCCTCTCAGTCCTTCACACTTCTTCTGTAGAATTTGGTACAGAACTTTGAGAGCCTCGGCTTTCATTTTTATTAAAACAGAGTTTCCAGTACTCAACACTGTGGAAGAAAGCATAGGAGCATTGACTTATTTCAGCCCCTATCTGTCTGGAAAAACAATTTAACTTTTGCCGGGGGGGGGCAGAGTTTGCATTTGCATTACATCTGTTGTATGCTGAAGTTCAGTCCTCGTGCAGGAGATGGAAGAGCTTAGCAGGTGTGAAAAAGATGTGGTTTTGCACGACTAGGCCCTTGTTAGTTCTTACCCATCTTTCATACATGACTGGGGGAGAGGGGTCAGGCTCTACTTCTTCTGTGACTGTGTGACTCTTACTGGGTTCACTGGTTTCATAGAATCATAGAATTTCCAGTTGGAAGGGACCCCGAGGGTCATCTAGTCCAACCCCTTGCAATGCAGGAATCCTTCCCACAGCTTCTATGAGTCCAAGAAGCAAATATTCGTTGGACCATGTTGTGTCCTACTTGCTAAGAACAGGAAGTAAGCCTCTCCCTCAAGCTTTTATAGGGATCAAGAATTGCCACTTGACTTGCTCTGGTGTTGCTGCAAGTACCGGTAGTCTCCCTTGGCAGATGAAGTGCCTCTCCCTTACTCTTAACTCCTTTGCCAAAGGTGTGTTGTGGAAGATAAACTGATCCCTATACCTGCAGTCCGCCAGGTCACCCCATTGCAAGCTTTAGCCTTTGCTGCCGGGAACCAAGTGAAAACAGCCCTAAACATTTTGCTACTGGCCAGGAAGCTACAACTGCTTTATGGCCTCTGCCCTCCTTTATCTGATTCTCACCTTTTTGCAGACCGCATCCTTGGGTTATGACCTCAGCTGCTGCCAGTGCAAGTTGTGGGGCTTAACTGATGCCTTTGTAGGGTTCTGGTGAATGTCAGAGGCTGCCGTGCCTTAAATTTCCAGCAGCTCCTGTGTGTCATTACGCAGCACAGGGGGATGCAAGTTAGTTCTGGGCCTCAGACCCTGGCAAGGGATTTCAATGTAGCCTCTATAAACAACACACAGTGGGTGTGGAACTTGCGGCTTGTTGGGGGCAAACTATTGAGAAAGCCTCATAGAATCAGGTGGGTGTGGGGAGGAGAACTTGTAGATCATCCCTGTTGAATGCAGGACCTGCATAGAATCATAGAGTTGGAAGGGACCCTGAAGATCAAGTAGTCCAACCCCCTGCAATGCAGGAATATGCAGCTGCGCCATATGGGGATCAAACTGCAACCTTGGTGTTATCAGCACCATGCTCTAACTAGTTTTCTAACCAACTACAACTAATCCAGGCAAGAGCAAGATTTCGAAAAAACAGAATTGCACTGCTCTAACCCTGACTTCAGGTAGCAGTTCATGCTTTGCTCCTGGCAGGTGGTTGTCCCGCTTCTCGTTAAAATACAGTCGTGCCTTCAACGTCCGAACAGATCCGTTCCGGAAGTCCGTTCGACTTCCAAACGTTTGGAAACCAAAGCACAGCTTCCGATTGGCTGCAGGAAGCTCCTGCAGCCAATCAGAAGCCGCAGAAGCCCACTTGGACATTCGGCTTCCAAAAGAATGTTCGAAAACCGGAACACTCACTTCCAGGTTTCGATCGTTCGGGAGCCAAGGCGTCCGACATCCAAGGTACGACTGTACCTCCAACAAAGGAGATCCCCTCCCACCCTTGCCCTAATTTACCTCTAGCCTCAACCTGATTGTTGCCGATAATTGTGTGTCGAGACCCCGAAACCACCCCCTCGTTGATGAATAAGACACAAGGAGACAGGTATTAGGTTAATGTTATTGGGCAAATTTAGGCCACAACTTTATTGGTTACAGAATATAAGCGGTATTGGCTTAGGCATTGGAATTGACCCGACTATATCTGACTCCTGCCCATCACGCAGGGAGTCCTCCCACCCTTGCCTCAATTTACTTCTAGCCTCACTCAACCTGATTGGTGCCGATAATAAGAATTAATAAGTACATTCTGTGCTTTTTTCTGGGGGTACTCAAGGATGCTCAGCACCAGCACCATTTTTTCCAGAAGAAAAGCACTGAGTATATTGTGCCTTTCCTGAAGATTTAAAGCTCTGTAAAGAGCGCCTTTATTCTGATAATTCTTGCATTCTCTTGTTATTCTCTGCATTTCAGTGGCTCCAGCAATGTACCAGTAGATATTTCAGAGTTACTTTTTATTGCGATTGTGGCTCTGACCCTTTCTGCCATTAAGCGTCCCATTGCGCAGCAAACATAATCAGTGGTGATAAAGGCCAGCTTTGTGCAAATTGCAAGCAAAAGGTCTCACTGCATGAGATATTGGCACAATTTACAGCATACAAAAATTGGCCCTTGAAGGGGCATTATAAATCACTGTGGGTCCTGTACAGTAAAGACTCAGATAAAAGTAGAGAGGTAAACACTCTCCCCCCCCCCCCCAAGATATAAAAAGAGTTTTACAAAAGGGCATTAAGACCTGCTAACTGGAAACAGCTGCTGCTAAGACTGTTTGCAGCGAGCTTAGGCTGGATATGTGCTGCCTTTCATGGTGATTCACAACTGGGAAAGGTTGTTAATACCAAGGGCACCTCTTCCTCTCACGGAAGGGCCAGGAAGGAAAACTTCAAAGGCTCATCACCCCAGCACAGCTTTCTTTGGCATTTCTCTTCCCTGCTTTGTTTTCTTCCTCTTGAGGGAAAAATGCATTGGAATATTTGTTCTCGCTCTCTCTCTCTTTTACCCTTTTTGCAGGGTTTTCTGAGAAGGCTGATAACGTGGTGAAACCAGGAGCCTGCTGTGCCTCTTGCAAAGAGTTCTATCAGATCAAGCAGACAGTGTTGCAACTGAAACAAAAGGTACAAGAGTCAGTGGCGGGGGGGTGCGGTCCGCCCTGGGTGTCATCACGGGGGGGGGGGGTGACAAAATGACAAAAATATGAGTTTAATTTTTTTATAAAAAAAAATGCTCATGAAACTTTTAAGTTCAGTCAACAAATATAACGAAACGTGGCTGGCACTAGGCCCCATACTATGGGGGTGGCACTTTCCACGGGGCCTGCAGCGTGCCTAAGTCACGCATCTCTCCTGGGAGTGACATGGTGGCTTGGGTGCCTGCAGGCTCCATGCTGCCTGATAGATAATAAAACTTTATCCGCATTAGCCAATGGCCATAGCAACAGTAAAACATTACAGTATACACAGAAAAGGAAGTTTGATATAAGAGCACAATTTAAAGTCCTGAATCAGCAGTCAGTTGGTGGCCCTTATTCTGATTGCCCCTGCTATGAACCTAGCAAACTCTGCTGTCATCTGCTCATTTTGATCTGATAGAATAAAGGACATTGTGGCAGTGGTTGAGCGCCCTGGGATGGTTAGTACGAGTGGGGTGATGATCTCGTTCCTCAGGTCTTTGTATACAGTAGAAGACAGGAGGGCGTGTGCCGCTGTTTCGATGCTACCATCTCCACAGAGGCAAAGACGTTTCTCAGGCGGGATCTTTTGGAATTGACCCTCAAGTACCGCAGATGGAAAAACATCCAGTCTTGCAAGCGTAAAAGCACATCTGTATTTTGGGATAATGAGTTTGTGCAGATGTGGGGCCAGAGAATCAAAATGGAGACGTGGAAAATGAACATAACAAGGGCAGAATTTCCTTATAGTGGCCAGGTTGTTCTGATGCTCGGTATCTTTTAGATGTTGACCAATTAGCCTGTTTGCTTTAGTAGGGCCCATAGTGAGTAAGTGTTGTGGGGATAGGCCACAAGAGCGAAGTTTTTGATAGACAGTTTTAAGCCAGGCACTTTTATGGGAGTCTTGAAGTACTAGGGATAGTAAACCAGGGGGATTTGAGTTTAGGCGGAGCCAGAAGTTAAGAGTTCTTTGCCAAGGCTGTACTTCTATTGAAGGGAGACTTGCCTCCAGTCTCAATGATGCGTTTGGGACACATGGCGGTACAGAAAAAATCTGCCTTAGAAACTTAGAAATGCAGTAATCATCCCATGAAACGGCAGCGTGGGACTTGCGTCTGCCCTCCGCCTCTCCCTCAGGCGCCCTACGGCTGAGGGGGAGGCGGCAGAGAGGATCCATACAGTGCGCCCCGCCCCCAGCTGCAGGATGTGCGCCCTCACGGCAATCTACGCTGCTGACGAGAGATGAAAAGAAAGACATAATGGGCTTGGCCAGAATGAAGTTTCTAAATAAGATATTTCATAGGCTTGTTGCAGAACAATAAACCCAGATATAGACATTCAGCAAGTGAATTTGTCTTCTAGGGAAACAGTGCAATCTTGTTCCTTGGAGGCTTAAAAAACCACAGTCACTTGGGGATGTTTTCATAAAAGATAGTTCAGAAGAATAATCTTAATTTAGGGCAATGAGTAGTCCTAGAACCAGTTTATCGGTCCCTTCCTGTTGAGTGGCCAGTTTTACAAGAGTCAGTTTAATCACGTTTTGTATTTACCATATTTTGGGGGTACATTAATATAATCCCACATAATGAAATTGAACTGTAAATATTTTTCACACGCTCTTTTCTGATACAGGAGAGATTAAATCCCCAAAGGAAAGAGCATGTTTTCTTTATGACAATCAGTTCTAGATTATGATATGGGTAATTATTCCTTTCAAAGCTATATAATGTAACAGATTGTTGGGGGCGGTATCTATTTTTCTCCCAACGGAAGGTAATTATCTTTTTTATAAAATAAAATAAAAATCACACATAACTGAGACACATGTGAAAACTTGAGTTTTGTGAAGGTTGTCATGTGTGTTTTGCGTGGGATTGTTTGGAAAATATATCAGGTGTGGTGGATCTTGCTATTCAGCTAGAGGACAGAAGAGAAAGAGTCCTTTTCCAGGGTTTTGTTATTTTGTTTTAATATAAGACTATGAAGCCAATTTTATTCTGTAAAACCTTCAAAAGAAGAATCCGCAAGGGAACCGTATTGTGTTTTATCTCATGCAAGAGAAACTCACCCTGGCCAATATCATCAGGAATCTGATAGCATGATGTGAGGCTAAGCTTGAAGTGTGAATCTTCCAACTCTAGGCTTGGAATCTTGGAGGGTGGGGCAAAAGGCAGCCAAAATTTGGAGTGATTTCAAGCAGGGTGGGATTCCTAATAGGTTTTGGGGGCTTTTCGAGTGGCAGTAGATGTTCTGGGGTGTTCTAGGTGTTCCAGAAGCCACCATTTCCCTACCCCCAAGAAAATGCACCAGAATGACACTGCAGTGCTGGGTTTGGAGCAGTATGGGGAGATAAGAAAGAGCTTGCAGTGAATGGTGTGTGCAGAGTGCAAATGGGGCTGCAAAATAATAGCGAAGTATTTGAGCTCAGCTGCTACCTGACGAACATGATGTTCCTGGAGTTCTCAGAAGCTTACTGTATATGTATGCATTTATTTGCTAAATTTATATCCCACCTTTCCTCCCAAAAGAGCCCAGAGTAGCTCCTTTTTAGCCGTTCGTTGGATAGAATATCAGCAGTGGTAGGCAAATTTCCCTGAAACACAGCTTGCTTATAATCACCGATCTCTCCCTGCAGTGTGGAGCGCTTGGTGTGTTCTCCATGTCCTGTTCTCAGCTCACATTATATCAGAAGAAATTCCAATACACCTGGAGACTAGCCACTGTGAAGCAAGCCCTAAATCAGGCATAGGCAAACTCGGCCCTCCAGATGTTTTGGGACTACAACTCCCATCATCCCTAGCTAACAGGACCAGTGGTCAGGGATGATGGGAATTGTAGTCCCAAAACATCTGGAGGGCCGAGTTTGCCTATGCTTGCCCTAAATGGTGTCCCAGGATTCTCTGCAGCGCTCAGGGATTCTATGCAGATATAATGGAAATAATTCCTCAGAGATACATTTTTTAAAAAAACCTTCTTCCCCATCATCCCCCTCCATAGAGTTGCAAAACTAGTCAGAGAGAGGGAGAGCCCTTTGCCAAAAGAAATAAATAGCAAGCAATCCAGGCATGCAAGCATTCCCATGTGTGGAATAGCTCTCATTGCACATGTTGCTTGCGCAGATACATGTAAGTATGTATTTAATTAGAAATAAGTGTTAGCCTGGACCCAGGCGATCCATCGCCAAGCCAACTGAGCAACGGTTTCCGCACGGAACTTCTTCAAAAGTAGATGTAATGCGGGCCATGGTGGGGGTTAGATCTCATTTCCGTGACTATTGTCCCTTTTGAAAATATTGTAGGGAGGTATTCTGTTTCCTTGTGAAGAAAGATTCATGCATGAAGAGAGACTTGGGAGTGAGATCATTTTCAAGAGCGATTCCAAGCCTGAATCAAGAAAGTGGAATAGGATAGAAATTAGATCAGTGCATGCTCGTGTCTGGCTAAGATAATAATATTCATCATCAAAGCACGGGGCAGATGCTTCTGACCTTGAGATAGTGAAAAGAGAGCAGACAGGAGTGAGTGACTGGTTTAGCATACATTGCATGAGCTTCAGGGCCACGTTGAATTTGCAGGTTGGCATCTGTTGCCCCTACGTGTCCTTTATGAAAGTGCCTGTCTTATCTGTTCGAGATAAATAAACGAGTTGGCAATAAAACTCAAATTGCATATGTGTACAATCAGCAGGGGGAGAAAATGTTCTCATCCTGTAAGTATTCTGAGCCCTTGGAAGGGAAAACACCATAGCTCAGTGCTTTGAATGCGGAAGATTCCAGGTTCAGTCTCTGGCACCTCTGTTTGGTCTAATCCAACAGAGTGTTTGTTATTCCCATCATCCTTGATCATTGGCCACAGTGGCTGCATTGGCTGAGGATAATGGGTAAAAGGTAAAGGGACCCCTGACCATTAGGTCCAGTCGTGACCGACTCTGGGGTCGCGGGGCTCATCTCACTTTATTGGCCAAGGGAGCTGGCGTACAGCTTCCGGGTCATGTGGCCAGCATGACTAAGCCGCTTCTGGCGAACCAGAGCAGCGCACGGAAAGACCGTTTACCTTCCCGCTGGAGTGGTACCTATCTATCTACTTGCACTTTGACGTGCTTTCAAACTGCTAGGTTGGCAGGAGCAGGGACCCAGCAATGGGAGCTCACCCCGTCGCAGGGATTCGAACCGCCAACCTTCTGATTGGCAAGTTCCTAGGCTCTGTGGTTTAACCCACAGCGCCACCTCCGTCCCTTGAGGATAATGGAGGCTGGAATAAAAAGGATTCTGGGTGGCTGCAGGTTTCAGACCCCTGGTTTAAGCAATCTGCTGTAACAAGAGCTCTGCTGAAGACTTTGGGGATAGGGGCTACAAGTCAGAGCAGACAGTAATTACTACTACTACTACTACTACTACTACTACTACTACTACTATTCAGCCAAAATTTGAATCCAGGAATAAGTCTAGAATCTGTCCCTGTGAAAAACTAAGGGGTGAACTTTCACTTTAGTTTTTATGCTTGCCTGTGTTTAATCAAAATACATTCTCTCTTTATCTAGAGTGCTCATATGTAGGATAACATACGTCTCTTTAAGAACTCTGAAGTGGCAACCAGAGATTTAATTTTTTTAATTAACTTACATGTACTGCACGCACACCATACACCATTCATATTTGGTGAGAAGGGTATATATATATATTGTGTTGCAGTGCATGTATGTACCCAGGTACAAAAGGTAAAGCTATTTTACTTTTGTCTAGACTATCGTCTAAACAAAATTTAAAAATTCCTTCCGGTAGCACCTTAGAGACCAACTAAGTTTGTTATTGGCGTGAGCTTTCGTGTGCATGCACACTTTTTCAGATACACGCATGAAGTATTTGTTTCGACTATGGCAGACCAACATGGCTACCTACCTGTAACTAGACTGTTGTCTACTTCTTCATGTTTGGGTATTTTTTGCTTCCTTGAAGCTGCCCATTCACAATAACTCTGTGAGGTGGTGAAGAGAGAATAGGGGACAGCGCAAATAAGGCCCCTGATCTGCCATGTCCAGAACTCTGCTGGGCTCCACTGACCTCTGCCATGAAGGAAGCTCAACCACCAACAGAGAAGCTCTGTCAGATAGAAGTGCCCCAGTACACTTTCCCAAGTGTCAAGAAGGAGCTGACACCAGTATCTGCCCACAGAAAGTTCTTAAGAAGAATGGTTTGGAGCAGAGAGGCTCCTATGCCTACCATGCTGCTATCACATGATGCCAGTGGACCTGATCTGCGCCTCTTTTCTGTTCCAGCCTAGGAAATGTCTCAGAAAAGGGGCATTTTTCCTGACCCCGACCTTCCTCTCCAACAGGTGCAAGTTCCAAGTCTGTGGGTGCAGGGCCAGCAACACCACTTCATCCAACCCCTGATGGCCAGGGGTTAGGATTGTGCCTTGAGTTATCCATCAAATAGCAGTGGGCTTCCCAGTCCAAGTGTAGCACCATGGCTCTTTCAGAGGATAGACTGATGGAATTAGTAGCTGGGTCATGAACTGCGGATTTCATTTTGTGCTGTCTTCCAAGCAACAAAAACTCAACTAGGTGTCACTGAATATGCCGCGTAGCTAATGGTTGATGGTGCTTTCTTTCTTGCAGGTTGCTTTGTTGCCAAATAATGCTGCTGACCTTAGCAAACCGATCACAGGAGAAAAAGTACTTGCATCCAATACATTAATACCAGGTCCTCCTGGACAGCCAGGTGATCAGGGTCCTCCAGGTAAAGCAATAAAGTAGTTAAACTAATTTTTATGTTTATCATATTTGTATACTACCGTTCATACAAGGAGCTTAGAGTAGGAACAACCATGCTTCCACACAAACACACACATATATGGTATATAGGTACACACACACAAACACAATTAGAGCCTCAAAGCATGCCTTGTTCCATCTGGTTTATCCCATCCCAGGAGCTGTCCAAGGTGCTGCAAGCTTGATTCTTCCACACCTCCCCTCCTAACTGAAAATATTCCATTCCCAAGCTATATATCTGTTTAGTGATTAGTGAATCTCTGGACTGGGAATTGAGAAAGGTTTCTCAACTTTCCTTGCCAAGCTCAACCTGCAAGATCTCACTCTTTGTGCTCTTTATATGCAGGAGACATAAAGAGCTACAGTATTTATTCCATTTATTGCATTTCTAGCCCACCTTCCTTGCAAGCTGGGAATCAAGGCAGCTTGCGACATTTTACAAACATCATTGTGAAATGCAAAGTAATAAAAACGCATTCAGAACCAGCATTAAAGTACTACTATTAATACCGTGCAATAAAGTGCAATATCATTAGAGTCAGCGTGGTAGAGTGGTTAGAGTGTCGGACTGGGACCTGGGAGGCCAGGGTTCATATCCGCACTCAGCCATGAAGCTTGGTGCGTGACGTTGGGCCAGTCACTCTCTCCCAGTCTAGCCTGCCTCACAGGCTTGTTGTGGGGATTACATGGGGGGGGGCAGGGAGAAACATATAAGCCTCCTTGAGCTCCTTGGAGAAAATGCAATCAATCAATCAATCAATCAGTAATGTGGTTGTTTTGTTTTGTTTATGTAATTGCATCATAATCTTTGAGCTGAATTGATCTGAATTTGAGCTGAATTTGGCCAAGATACAAGGCAGATGGTGCAAACCTCTGGGCTCCTGGTTTGTCTCCCAGCAATTGAGATACAAGCTAAAGCAGGGGTGATGCTTCTCCACGTTGTTGTCCTAAGTCAGCCCCCATTCACCAGCCACATCTATGAACCCACTGACAGCCTTAACCATCTCCCTTTTATTGCAGGTGCCACAGGTCCTCAAGGGAGCCCTGGATTTCCTGGATCTCCTGGCCCTCCAGGTCTGCCAGGCCCTAGAGGAGCAATGGGGCCTATGGGACCCTCTCCAGACCTGTCCCATATTAAACAGGGCAGAAGGGGCCCCGTGGTCAGTATTGCACCTCCGTTCCATAAATGCACGCAGCGTATTGGTTGTGCTATTGCATGTTCGTAAGGACTGTGGTTTTGTTTTTCAGGGTCCTCCGGGAGCACCAGGAAGAGATGGAGCAAAGGTGAGCAAGCAATTCTTTCCCCTCTAGCATGTGTCTTATGAAATGTTGCTCCCAGTTCCCAACTAATTGGAAGGCAGCAGTAAAGCTGGCCTATCCCAAGAAACAACAGGCAGAGCCCCCTTGTGGCTGAGTAGTGTGAGAGTGCCTTGCAAGAGAACTTCTGTATGAATTGGGCGTACAACATGGCCTGCCTGCTAATATAGATTGTTTTCCTGTTGTTCCTTCCTAACCATTTTGATGGTTGTGTACAGGCTGAATCTCCACCTGATATCCCTGATATCTCCCAAGCTCAGGACAGCTGCAGACCCAAATCCCGATACAGTAATGGAGCCACAAATCCATCTTATTGAGCATTGCAGTTTATCTTTTATCACAAATCAGGGCCATATCTCTTTAGATATGTCTTGAAATTGAAGGTTCCATGCTGTCATAATATTGTCCATCTGCTATATTAATTGGAAACATTTTTCGCCTACATCTAGGGTGTAAATGAATCTATTGTTCATTTACTTTATAGTAAATTTGATTGGAACTATTTCCAATACAGATGGATTTGGCCTTTGGGGAGAAGTTGTTTCAGAGTTTTTCCCTACTCTGGAATAATCATCAAAGCCTGGTTCAATGTGTTGATTTGAATACTTACAACAGATAAAAAAATTGTGACTGGAAATATGATACTTAACTTTGATATGTAAAGGTAAAGGTAAAGGTACCCCTGCCCGTACGGGCCAGTCTTGACAGACTCTAGGGTTGTGCGCTCATCTCACTTAAGAGGCCGGGAGCCAGCGCTGTCCGCAGACACTTCCGGGTCACGTGGCCAGCGTGACATCGCTGCTCTGGCGAGCCAGAGCCGCACACGGAAACGCCGTTTACCTTCCCGCTGGTAAGCGGTCCCTATTTATCTACTTGCACCCAGGAGTGCTTTCGAACTGCTAGGTTGGCAGGCGCTGGGACCGAACAACGGGAGCGCACCCCGCCGTGGGGATTCGAACCACCGACCTTTCGATCGGCAAGCCCTAGGCGCTGAGGCTTTTACCCACAGCGCCGCCCACGTCCCAACTTTGATATGTAGGAAATGGTAAAATGAAATCTAGGCCAGTGTTTCCCAACCTTGTGCCTCCAGCTGTTTTTGGCCTACAATTCCCATCATCCCTTGCCACTGGTCTTGCTAGTCAGGGATGATGGGAGTTGTAGGCCAAAAACATCTGGAGGCACAAGGTTGGGAAACACTGATCTAGGCTTCACACTTAGTAGCGTGAGAGCCCTACTGAACTCAGTCAGAAATTCACCTAGTGAAAGTCCCATTGGACTCAGTAGGATGTTCAAACGCTTAACCTTTGCTTCAAGTGTAACTTTTCAGATCACTTAATGTGTGGTTTGAACGATTATTTAGACTTTTGTTTATTGAATTTGTTTTCTGGCCTTCACCTCAAAGGTTTCCAGGTTGTTAGATAGCAATACAGTATATAAAAAAATATATAAATCCATAGTAGGGGTGGGTGGGGAAAACACCAATTTAAAATAAGTATCATAAATGAAATATCAAAATATTAAAGAAAACTACATTACAATCAAGCAGCAACCCACTTCTCAACCAGTTTCATATGCCTGAGAAAACGAATACAGGTTGCTTTCGAAGGATGGAATAGGTGTCCAAGATATGGTTCCATTTTAATCAATGAAAGTGATATTTGTTACAGGGTGACAGAGGGGCACCAGGAGAAAAAGGAGCACCGGTAAGTATCTTACCCAGTTGCAATGCAATGTTATTTATTTATCCAATTCCAAATGTTTATTTACTTACTACCGGTTGGACTAGACGGCCCTCTAACTCTACAATTCTATGTTACAACATAGTTACAACTAAACAGTTGCACTAGCATAAACCCGTTGAGCTACACAACGTAACTTCCCCTCCCTCTCCTCTCTCTGTGTAGCCCCCCATGTGCTTCTAAATCTATTGCCGGGATTGCTCCCAACCCCCCAACCCCCCAAGATCAAATTTAGGAGGTGCACGGGGAGAGGAAAGGCCAAGTTCCATTGCACAGCCCAAAGTGCTTGTGCTAGCATAACTGTTTAGCTGGATACCACCCATAACAGCATGAAATGATATTTCAGCTTCATATATTTCTTTTTCCTACATCACTGTTAAATATACTAATATTAACAGCTACAGTGACCAAAATCTGCACCTTAAGATTTCCCCCATCCAGACAAATGCACTGGGCATGGGAATGCTGAAAAACTGACCCCTGCCTTACAGGGCTGCTGGTAATTGTATGGGTGGAATTGTCTCTCCCATATCTGTATTCATTTGCCCCTCCAACTGCAATCAGTTGGAACAGTTTTCATTTATGCTTTGGAACTGCTCTGAAGCACAATGGGGCTCCAGACTGAGGACATTGTTTAATGGTTAGCAGTATGAAGGTGTAAGCATCTGTCTGTTTTCAGTCCCAATAAGTGCCTTCTGTGCTCTTCTCTTTAACCAATTTTTGACGTTTTAATGAAATAAATGGTGAAGACATGAATGTCTCATATCAGACACTCTCAGTTCCTATACAAAGCCAACTCTGTGCCCACAATAGTGAGGGTAACGGAATCTTACACACTGAAGCATTTCTCATTTGAAATTTGCATTCAGAAAAGATTCAAGTACAGATTGCTTTTCCAGACTTCAACTTTCATTAGTTTCCTTGCCTCTGTTTTGATAATCTATCCGAAACTGGTGCTGTGATGTACTGTAAGTCATTAGGAGCACGAGGGACTAGTAACTTAATTGTCACACCTCTAATATTTCTAGGGGCCACCGGGTTCTTTTGACTTCCTGTTGCTAATGATGGCCGACATCAGAAATGACATCGCTGAGCTGCAAGAGCGGGTGTTTGGCCACAGGACTCATTCATCGACTGAAGAGTTTCCATTACCTCAGGAATTTACAAACTATCAGGACATAGTGGATCTGGGATCCGGAGAAGATTACAAACAAAGGACTGCGTCGAAAGACTCCCGAACATACGGAGAAGGCAATCATTAAATCGAGCTTGTGACCTGGAAAGAGTAAAACTTTGCAGGGCAGTGGTCCACAAGTCATTTAAGCCAGCGTACTTGCACATATTCCAGTTTAGCCCCATGGAAATGGGCCCATGTACACGATTCACTGAAATTACCGTCTTCCCTTACTATAGCACTGCAGGCAGGACCAAATTAAGAGCCAGCTAGGTGATCAGCACTCAGTGAGAATTATCCATTGTTGGAATGGGCAGATGGAGAACTGCATATGAAAAACCAAGACCTAGATTGTAGGTGGAAGACATATGTGTTAGAAAGGAACAATCCTTTCTACACGTTTCCTTGACATGCTGTCTTTTGTCTGCATGGAGTTGTTTGCTACAGCTCAGCGGTTTATGATGACTATATATTACCTTCCATATCAGAGGAAGTGTGCTTCAGAATAGCTATTGTTGCAGAACACAAGTGGAACAGTACCATAACATTCATGCCCGGCTTGTGGGCATCCCAGACGTATCTGGTCAGCCACTATTTGGAATGGAATGCTGTCCTAAATAGACCTTTGCTCTGATCCAGCTGCTCTCTTACATTGTAACAACAGATGCATCCCATGAGTCTGCTCATAGTGTAACTCGACTCTCGAGAGCAAGGGGCATCAGGAATTTGGCTCTCACCCAGGATTCCCATATCATACTCTGCTCACATCTAGAGGAAGGATTGTGCAAATATAGCTATGAACATCCACCTGCACTGCCTTCCTCCTGTTCCTTTTTTCTTTTGCAGGCTGGACAGGATACTGGTTGACCATGTGTATATATCTTCCATTTTTCTACATCTCAGAAAACATTTCATTCTCCTTTGTCTTCCAGTAGGGGAGCAGCTGCTGTATCTGTGACTTTAAATTGTAGGCAGTTTTAAAGGAGCTCAGTTGAAGGAGCAAGTTGGATGTACTCTACCTGTTGAGACACTCCCAAATAATTATGCCGTGCTGTTGGCCTCCATTTCCTTGCCACCCAACTCCCTGATGCTGCTGGTGGGAGTTGAAGGTGAGGACATGTACAACGTGGAGTTGTAAATAATTGTTTGCCTTCTCACCTTCACCATGACACTCCCTTCCTCTCGTTGCACCAAGGATACAGGGTGTGCAAGGCAAGGAATGGGACTTTCTGCATTCACGCAATGGCCTAACATTAGCATAAAGGAAGAAATTTTACATCTGCAACAATCAGTGCTCAAAAGGCAAGGGTCTTCAAGTGCACCAAGGTAATTTTCTACAGCCGAGTGACCTGTAAGCTACCTTAGGTACTAGTTCTGTGGCTTAAATGATTTGTAGACTGCACTGTTAAAAAGAGTTGTACAATATTTTAAAAATGCACTGATAATGTATAAAGTTTTATATGTTTTATTGTCCAAAGTTTCTCGATTCCCTTTTCTTACAGAGATGTTTACTGGTAGTAACACAATCCAGCTGTATTATTTGTTAGCCCAAGAACTAGCCCCAGAACTGTCTAAACATGGACACGATAATAGATTCTGCTTTGGAGCAAAAAGTAAAAAATAAAAATCCTAACGCATTGGTAATTCCAAGTGCAGTGGCATAATTTGCAGTCAGAGGTAGCTACAAATGCGTGACGTTTCCTTTTTCTTAGCAAAACAGTGAAGTTTGGGAAAGTGGCCAAGTGTCAATGTTATTAGCCAGTTCATAAATTGTACTTTCCAGCCACGAGGCAATGACCTTGAATGATCCCCATTTTAGGTGCAATATAAAATTGCCTGTAATCAGACTTCTAATCCATGTATCTTTGGTAAAATACAAACAGTCATGTAGTCAGTTCTCGTTCCATATTCCCCTGGCTGCAACTTGTACGCAATGCCAATTTAGTGCTGACGGGGGAAGAGATTATGGCTGGTCCATGGTCGAAAAAGAATATACTGAATATATCCCCTATAAGTCCTGATTTGAGGGCTGCAACGCTCAAGGGCTTTCACATCACTAGTGGTACTTCAGAAAATCTCATGAATCTAGTTCAGTTCTCTGGATGGCTTTTTTTCTTAAAAGCATGTGCAATGGGCCAATTGGATTGGCTCCTTGGGTTTTTAGTAAGGGGTGGTGTAGAATTAAGGCATGAAAGCAGAATAGCAAGAAGAGGCAGTGTGGGCATGATCCAGCAGACCTTAAGTCCCATTGCTTTCAGTGGGAGTGAGCCAAGTACAGGCTTTGACTGACTCACACCCATTCTTATTTTACGAAAAGAAAATATAATCAAACCATTCACAACGTTTAGTGTAATGAGTATATTCTGTGTTGTCAAAAGATGGTTTAGTTTTGCTTTTTGCTTTTTAAAGGCTTAATGTGTCTACAGGAAAAAATACTAGTTCCCTAGAACGTGTTTTTAAATGGCCGCAATTCCAAAGATTCTATGTATTGCTGATTAAGCATCATTATTAAAAGTAGTTCCATTGATTTCAGTAGAAAGGCGGCTTGATCCTGTCCATGTCTACATAGTAGCAAGAGCCACTGAGTTCAAGGGGACTTGCTCTTAGCTAAAAGTGCATAGGATCTGCACATATGACAGCTTAGCCCCTTGGTGTGTATGCTTCTGCAGTAGTTAGCAGTAACCAAAAATTAGCTGAGATGCAGGCATTGAAAAGTTTTTGCTAAAGATTTCCCAACTGGCATGAACAAACACACAGAAGAAAGGAAGAAATAATATTCTATAACCTTTGAGTAATCCTTCGAGATCTCAATGCAATCCCTGTCCGAGACTGTCTGTCACTGTGCAGACAGTTCACCAGGAATTTTCCCCATGCATGCCTCACAGTAATGAGTGGATCTGGGGCAAACTCATTCTCAGTAGATTTGTGGCCAATCTCTCTTTGAGATCATATTTCACAGTAAACGAGCGGAAGCAACTGGAGGTTAACAACGTGACCCATAATTTTATTACTTTCCTCCCTTTTTTGTAATAATAAAAGACACAGAGCTTTGTCCCTTTGTACACATTTAGAGAGCTATGCAACACACAATTATTTATGATGATTATATGAAGTACTAGAGAGTATAAAAAGTGACTGTGATTATGCAATGTATTTGCAATTAAAGAAGGATATTTTTTCTTATTTCGGTATTGACTCCCTTGTATCTTTCCAACTTCTTTTTGAAATGGTGTCTATGAAGAGAGGCCGGCAGAGACAAACACTGCACATTGCTGGAGGGCAGTGAGTGTGACAGGCTGACACATATAAGCTATTTTTCTCAAGCAGGTGCTACAGCTTTTTACTGGCTGACTATACAAAGTGGGGAGGGGGGATATCCTTCAACTGTGTGAACGGAATCCTCAGGCCGTAATTATGTTAGGTGTAGTTTGGCTGTAAAGCAAATACAAAAGCATGTCGTTTTTGTGGATGTGGCCAGTGACAAACCACAGTTGATTGGCACCTCATACCATCTCTCCCCAAGTCGGTGCCCTTCTAGACCACAGCACCCAGCATCCCTCATGCTGGAATCCAACAACATCTGAAGAACAGCTGTTTAGGAAAGGCTGCTTCAGAAAGCCAGCACCCAGGCTCCCTCGATCAAGGTGGTTTAAGGTTTAAGGTGGTTTAAGGTGGTATAGTTTAAGGTTGCCAGGTGTCCCCTGTTCTCGGGGACAGTCCCCAGATTTGCAAATCTGTCCCTGGACAAATTCCGTCCCTGGAATGTCCCCAGATTTGCAAATCTGTCCCTGGGAAACGTGGCAGCAGCAGCCTCAGCAGCCCAGAGCCAGCCTGTTAGCGCAGTTGGCTCTGGCTGGCTTCAGGAGCTGGCTGGCTTCAGGAGCTGAAAAATGTCGCCTGCCATTTTTCCTGCGCCACGGCAGCAAGCAGTGAGCAGCTCCTGAAGCCAGCCAGAGCCAACTGCACCACCAGTCTGGCCCCTCCTGGGCAACGGCCGCCTGCCCGTGACTCCTGAGCCTCCCCTGATCTATCAAAACAAAGGGGGAAGGAGATCGGGGAGGCTTGGGAGTCATGGGTGGCGGCGGGCTGTTGCCCAGTTTTTTTTAAAAAAAACTCTGCACATTTATGTTTCACAGGGTGCGAAAGAAGGGCTTTGCACCTTTATACAATATGCATGTGTGCTTGGGCCCAGGGGCTTTTGCCTCACCATCCCCACTACTGACTCCCTGTTGTTACTCAGCTTCAAAAAAAAAAAAAAAAGTGTCCCCGGATTCATTGAAAAAAATCTGGTACCCAGATGAAATGCCAGGTTTACAAAGGGAGGGGTGGGCTTGGTTCTTGGAGATAACTGCTTGGTTCTGTGGGGAAATGCAAAGTTCACACCAGTGCCCCACACCAAACTGGATGGAGCGGTCCACAAGTTTCAGGCTCCATCAGGGGAGAATACAATGTGTTACAGCTTGCAGAGCTCAGGGAGGTGCACCTCCGTCGAAAGGAAAAACAGAGGCTCTCTCTCCACTCATGCCTGCCTTCCATAATGCTGAATGATGCATTAGCTCTACAGCAGCAATCTCAATGGCTTGCACCTATAGGGAATCTGCACTCAATTGCATGATCATTCACCAGTTTGGCTTGGGATAAGTAGGACTGGGCTCAGGGTGGGTTGATCTAAACCAAAGATGAAAATTTGAACTGAAACATGGGAACCCCCAACAAAAAAAATATAATTTGGCAAAATATTTGGACTTTATGATATCTACTTGTATAATATGGAATAATTAATGTGATTGGATTGGATTGTTAAAATGGAAAACTTAATAAAAATTATTATTAAAAAAAATTGCAGGGGAAGGAGCATTGGTTTGAATGAGCGGGGGGGGGGTGTCTCCAGCCTAATTAGTCCAGGCACAGCTCCCAATTTGGCCCATGAGGCTGTTCCCTTCCCTGCTCCACACCAGATGTACATGTGCATTTATTTATTATTACATTTATATCCCATTTTAGCCTCACGTTCACAATGACCCTGAGAGGCAGTGACTGGCTCGAGGTCACCCTGTGAGCGTCATGGCTGAGCGGGGATTTGAAGCATGGTATCCCAGATCCTAGGCCAACACTTAAACCACTACATTGCATGAGCTCTTATACATGTGGGGCAGAAGCAGACACGGCCACATAAAAACTATTGGGATCTTAAACGTGAACTCCCAATTACAGTCATACCTCGGGTTACAGATGCTTCAGGTTGCGTTTTTTTCAGGTTACGGATGCGCCAAAACCCAGAAGTACCAGAACGGGTTACTTCTGAGTTTTGGCGGTTGCACAGAAGCGTTAAATCATGCTTTGCGCATGCACAGATGCGCCGAATCGCAACCTGCACATGTGCAGACGGGTTGCGAACACTGCGGGTTGCGAACGTGCATCCCGCACAGATCACGTTCGTAACCTGAGTGTCCACTGTATTCTTTTGCAAGTGGGGCAAAAGTTAACCCTACTGGCATCAACTGCACATGGGAGTTCCCCAATGGCAAGGCCTAAGTGAAGCCAAAGCGGGGGGGGGGGGGTTGTTTGCTCCATTTTGAAACCAAACTGATTCTCCTCTCTGGAAGAAAGTTCTGCTTCAGGAGCAAGCCAGTTGACTCCGGGAGCTCTCCTTCAAAGGAGCTTGCTCTGTGTGTGTGTAGCTTAAAATGGAGCTTCCCCCCCTCCCCGCCGTCAAGGGAACCTAATGTAATGCGTTTAGCAGTTGGCCAGAGTGACCTCCTCACATTAGAAGTGCTACATTAAAGGATAGTAGTCTTTGAGGAAAAGTGATCTTTGTATATGTCAAATCTGATTCTTACCATGTTTAATTCTTCCAGAAAGAAAAGCAGGATAAAAAATATTTTAAAGCAAATCAATCCAATATGGAGCATTTCTCTCCTCTTCCCCCTCTCCACTTCTGGGAACCACAGCTATAAGGAAAGATTTATAGGAGAGCAACAACGTTAACAAAGGGAAGTGGGTCTGTAAGCCTAGAGAGAGAGAAAATAAGGACAGGCATGTTACAATTATGTAATACAATGGTACCTCGGTTTTTTAACGTCTCCGTTGACAAACGTTTCAGTTTTTGAATGCCATAAACCCAGAAGTAAATGCTTCCATTTTCAAATACGCCTCAGAGGTCAAACGGCTTCTGCTGAGTGTATATGTTAATTTTCTCTATGAAATTTGCAGGCCGCCCTTTGCACCTTGGTTTCCAAACATTTTGGAACTCAAATAGTCTTCTGGAATGGATTACGTTCAAAAACCGAGCTACCACTGTATTTGAAAGGATGCCATAAGAGGGACATGAAGTGTTCACTTTGGCCATAAAGGTTAGGACATAGATAGTGGTAACATCACAAGGATTTCTGCTTGCACAAAGTAACTCTCCTGCCTGCACATGTGCCCCATGACATCCCCAAATCTGCTTCAGATCCTTTACAATGGCTTAAGCGGAAGCTTCGAGGAAGGAGAGGGGGAAATGTTCCATTACACGTGCAGAAATCCTTGGGCCGGTGAAGCAAGTCACTTGGTGCTATTTTGAAATACAATCCAGAGTTGAACATGAGGACTAGGAGAATTCCTTCCATTGACAGGTCACAGGCATGGAGATGGAGGGAGACTATGCCTTTACTTAAAGCTAGGTAAAGGGCACTAATCAAATAGGTAAAGGTAAAGGTACCCCTGCCCTGTACGGGCCAGTCGTGTCCGACTCTAGGGTTGCGTGCTCATCTCGCTCTAGAGGCCGTGAGCCGGCGCTGTCCGAAGACACTTCCGGGTCACGTGGCCAGCGTGATGAAGCTGCAGATGGCAAGCCAGCACCAGCGCAGCACACGGAAACGCCGTTTACCTTCCCGCTATAAAGCGGTCCCTATTTATCTACTTGCACTTAAGAGTGCTTTCGAACTGCTAGGTGGGCAGGAGCTGGGACCGAACGACGGGAGCTCACCCCGCCGCGGGGATTCGAACCGCCGACCATACGATTGGCAAGTCCTAGGCGCTGAGGTTTTACCCACAGTGCCACCCGCGTCCCTGCGCCACCCAGGCCTATAACGGGGTGGGCATGTTACAAGTCTTAAGCTGAACTGTAAAGAAAAACACTGCCCCAGAAAGTCGTGGGATTCCTTACAAGAAAAGCATAGGACATGCTTCTGACCCATCAAGCTGGATGTGCCCTCCAGCTGCCATAAATTAAAAGCCTTCCTATAACCATTGCTGCTTATATAGTCCCATAAAGCAAAACGTGTATACTGGTGGCCTGCCATTGGACAGCTATCGGAATGTATTTAGCTTAGCAACTCCACAGGCACGATTTACCTTAAAGTAGATTGCAGCCTCTCTGGGGGGGGCACAATGTCCCATACCTGGACCATTATCTGGCTATCTTCTATCCTGGACTGTAGGATCTCTTGGATGACTTCCAACAGCATGGTTCTAATGAAGACATTATTTTAAAAAAACATTGTCTAATGGAGACCAGGAGAGTTCCCAGTGAGGAAGATGGACCACATGACTCCTTAAACGTTTTGGTTAGCGATATCCAAAGAGAAGCAGCCAGTGCTTAGAAATGTTGTGACTTCAGGACTGAGAATGTTTGACTTGTCCCTGTGCCCACCACCCAGGCACAGTTTTTGTCCTCCTTCAGTAATTGCTTTTGATAGGAAGAGTCTATCGGCGTAGCTGGTTTCTGTCCACCAGCTCTACACGTTGAGAGCCTTTAGTTCTGAGTGGACCATTCTGCTACTAGACCTGTTCCATCAAATCCAATGACTCCTCATTTTCGAAAGCCCAGAGCATGAGCATTGCTAACAAAAAATCCCAGGAGACGCAGTGTTTCGTTTTAGTGCATGGTGGTCAATGAGACAGCAGATTGCATTGCTCATTGTGGTAAGTCAAAGGCCTGTAGAGCAGATGTTCTGGGATACTCCAAGAATTCCTTTTGTTGTTGTGAGTTGTATATCTGGTTAACTGGACCTGCCTCGTGTCATTCTCCCCCACAACTGAAAATAACAATGTTTTTACTTAGTAACAATACACAGGACTGAGCCAATTTCTTTTTGTTTTGCGAACCTTGAAGGGGAAATGAGTTTGTCCTGTTCAGAGAGATTTTAGTAGCAATATTCTAGACAACATAGTCAAATTACAGTAGTACCTTGGGTTAC